TTCTTTTCTCAGGTGCCTTCTCAAGGCAGAGCACGTCGCCAAGACGTCTTTGTCGTGGGGCACGAATTTTACTCGTTTTTGTAGACGCTCTTAGCCGAAGGCGTTTGCTGCTATCTTCATGGCTCGTAGGGGTTTTTTCTAAGGCGCCCTGTTCTTTTTTCGCCAGGTCATCATCACGGCCAGTTTGGGTGGACGGGGGCGACATGTCCTCCAAGACATCGTCCCATCCCTCTTTCTTTTCCGTGATGGATGGAGACGTTTTAAGGGCAGATGTTATCACTGGGGGAGACGTCCTGGGAAAATGTTCCATGCGTTCTCCTTCGTTCTCCCCCTTATCCTCTTCTCGTTCCTGTTTTAACGGCGCAATGGCCGTAAATACGTTGGAAGTGTCGTTCTTGGCACTCGCGGTTGGTGGTGGAGCCACGGTGGTTATAATTTGCCTTTGCAGTCGTGAAAAGGCACCAAAGAGCGACTCGGAGGCATCCAACAATGCGTTAAACCCGCCAGCCTCCACAGACGTCGCTGTTGTGCTGTCCATTTGGATAAGTGGCGCCAGTGCATTCGCTGGCGGTAACGCCTCGACAGGTGGTGTTGCAGTTGCTTTTACTGCGGCTCGTGTTGCCGCAGGAGGAGGCGCCAATGACGACGATGATGTTGGCAGCGGCGATGGTGCTTGGATTTCTTTTCGTGGCGATGGCTGCCGCAAAAACACCGATCCCTTTTCTTCCGTCGCGGCAAGTTGGCGCTGCTGCCACTCAAGGCAGGTGTGCTGTCGGCTGCTCCGCCTCATCGTGTCCGCCCCCTTTTCATCACCCGCCTCCTCTTGACGCCTTTGCAGCTCCATCTCCCACTGCGCCTCCTCCTCGCGCCACGCCTCCTCCTCCAGCCGCGCCTCGTACCGCCGCTGCGCCATCATCTCCTCCCTCGCAAAGAGCTCATAAAAGGTGTCGCGATGCGCCTCCTCCTCCTCTACAAGAGAAAGACGTAGACTGTTCTCGGCGTCAAACACGGCGCACTGCTGGTTGGAGAGATCAACGAGTATTTTGTGCTCCACAAAGCAAACGGCCTCCACAGCAGACCGTGACTCCCGCTCTTGCAATAGAAGATAGCGGAGCTGCCTTTGAAAACACTCCATCGCATTCTTCCATAACACACGCACCCCACGTCGAAATGCCTCTTTCATCAGAGAAAAAAAATTAAAACCAAATGTCAATAAAATGTCCTCCTGTTCAATAACAAAGACAACAAACACACGCCGACGTTGTTCCTCCCGCAGCGCCAGATACAATGTTCCCAGAGCAGCACAAAAGGCGCTACTACCAATAAGGTTATCATACTCCTGCCTCAAGTGTCGCTGTAAACTTTGTCGTACATAAGCCTCCTCTTTAAAAAGAAGTTCGAGTTCCGTTGAAAACATTGATATGCCGCTTCCCATATCATCATTACTATCCATGTGAACTGTACTCCCTCCACGGGACGAGGAATGGCAAGCATCTTTTCGTACGGCTCTCAACAACGCTGCACTCACATTCCTTTGCTGCAGGGCCTCTTTCATGCGGGCCATATCCCTGACAACTTGTTGGTGCACTTCATTCCGATGGTACACATCCCCCTCCGCTTTCTCTTGATCGGGAAGAGAAAGACGATGTGAGAGCAGACGGAAAAGAAATTTCTTCTCCTGTCGGTGCAGCTTCGCCCACCGGGAGTGTGCCGCTTGACGAACACATTGAAGCATCTCACCTCGCACATCCTCTGAAACCGGCCTCTCCTCCTTTTCTCCACGTCCCAGTTCCGAATCCTCCATTAGGGCCAATGATTCATCGAGAAAAAGAAACAACACGGCGTGGGAGTACAGCGGTGCTGCCTTTTCAAAGGCAGAGATGACTAGCGCAAGATTCTCCGCCACATCGTTCAGATACACCTTGCTGTCCCACCACAGCGTGTCTCTTTTTAATTTTCCCAGAAGGGGTTTGGCGTCGTCCACTTCCGACGTCCTCGACGATAACAACCCCTCGTCTGCACGTTGTATCGCCAGTCGCATTTTGTGCAGGACATATGAACGTATTCTTCGCCGCATGACTTCCACGGCAACCACAAAGCGCGGTGGTTCATTGGAGATTACTTGCAAGGCCAAAAAGTACATTTCTGCCGGAGAGAAGGTAAAGGGTATGTCCTCGGTTGCCGCCTCACTCCCGCTGCGGGGTCCCTCAGACAGTGTGGTACACGACGCCTCAAAGGCGTTGAAAAGCAATGAAAGACACTGAACTTCAAGACAGTCCGCAACGTGCAGGTTAATCAATCGCCGTATTTCATGCAGCGTCTTTATCCAGACACGTTCAACACTTTCCGTCTCGTCCAGTGGCGGTCCCAGCACGGCGGCGCTCGGTAAAGTCGGAGAAACCGCAGTGGCGGCAAGTGCACACCCTACAGTTCCCTGTTGATCTCCCACCGCAGCGAACACTCGCGGGAACGTTGACAAAAAGACAGGCCGAAGAAATTCCAGCAGCAGGACGGCCCTGGGAACAGATTTCTGAAGCGTTGCCCCACTGCTTGCAAAAAGTGCTTCATAAAGCAGCTGCAGGAGATTGGGGTTAAAGGCAGCTGACTCGTCATTCTCCAGCACAAGTGTCCACAAAAAAAGGATAAACTTTTCACTGTTCGTGTCATCTGTGGGACTACAAACCCCCAAATCTGTGAGGGCGCCTCTCAGAAGAGACGCCGTGGAGGAGCCCAAGATATGGTGCATGGCCCGACTGATATTGCTACCGCCGCCTCCTGCATAGATGTCCCCGCTCGGAGGGGCTTCAGGAGACCTAAAATAATTTCTTCTTTGACGCTCGGTGAAACAGAGCGCTAAAAGAGGAACTTTCGCGGCGCACAACGCGTTCAGCACCTCTGCTGCCCGTTCCACTCGATCCCCACACAACCAACGCAACACTTGCGCCGCTCTTGAGACGAAGCGGTGCGACTCCTGCGTTTTTCCGCTCCTGTCAGCGGTGGCGAGGTGGAGGATGAGATACACCACCGGCAGGCCACCGGACATGGCAGTAAGCGGCCAGTCCTCAAGGAAACTGAAGTTCCATTCATGCAGAAATTCCAATAATGCCCCAAGCGTACCATCGGACTGCAGGCGTTCCTGGACGGCAAAGAAGACGATTTGACTTATGTCCACGTTCGGGGCAGAAGATGCTTCCGCGGCATCCTCACACGCCACAGCCACTTCCAAAAGAAGCTGCAAAAAAACAATAAAAGGATTTCGCACGTCATCATCTTTCCACACGGCAAACGATGCGATCTCGCGCAGCGAAAGATTGCCACGCATAAGAACCACCAGAGCATGCTGATATTTGGACGTATTTTGAGATCGACGTAAGTGCCTTAAGAGATCATCAAACGCGCGACCTCCGCCAGACTCACACGCAGCCATTTTTTCCCACTTCTGAACGACATCCTCCAGAAGAATTTCGCCCTCGCCCTCATCCTCACTACTAAGGGGGATATGATTCACCCAAGCAAAGAGCGCGGCTACCAGTGGTAACCACATATCACTTTGTCTTAATAGCCAATACATGCTACGTCGTTCATTGGGTGCGAGCAGAGAAACAAACGAATCTTCATCGCGTACTGCCGAATCGCGACGTCCCGGTAATAGTTTTTGAGTGTTGACAGCCCCAAGCACAAGAAACGTGATATCACGAAGGATGCTATTGTCGGCGTGTGCAATCCAATCCAGTTCCACAAGGAAAGTCAATAGAAAATGACGAAGAGCATTGGCCAATTCACGAACTTCCTGCGTGACGTTCACCTCCATAGACTGAGAAAGTTTCTCCAGAATTGACATCGTCACAACAGCACTTCTTCCCAAAGCCACGCTTCGCCATGCCTCATACATCACAGCTTCGGGAACCGTACCATCTAGCAGGGACTCGTGCAACATACCTTTACTGAGGCCATCGGCCTTCGACAGACTCTTGTTTCGCATGACGACAGAGCGAGCAAGACACGCAGCTAGTATTTCATTTGTCCCCAAATCATCATGGAGAGCGGTTTTCCCACCTTGTGGGCGTGTATATAGCCACTCAGAGGCCTGGATTTTCTTTCCATTATCGGAATTCTGCTTCTCCGAAGTTATTTCAAGAACATACGTCAAACGAGTCTTCTTCAACAATGTGTTCACACTTACAAAACAACGCAGTGCTCCATTCTTTGAGGCCGCAGGAGGTGAGGATGCAATGGAGGTAGGCAGCGTGTGATACCATGAGGTGGCATCCTCATCACTCATCGTGGCATTCATGACGGTGATGTTAGCATAACCATTTTCTGCAGTATTATCGGGGTACAACACCATGGAGGAAAGAGCCTTTCCAATGGGTAGTGGTGCGGTGCCAATCCAGCAGACAGTACGTGGGATTGGGAAACGACCATGTCGACTCTTTGCCCAAGGTACACCCGCAACAAGATACAAACCCTGTCGGCCGCTTTTGATAACATCCAACTCCGTACGAACATGACCTATGCCATCATCAAGGAAGTCCACCACAAAGCGTAGTACCATTGACAAGCCCACCTGTCGCATCCAACCACCAGTGCTTTTATCGCAGTACTTATAAGGGCTATGAGGACGAAGGGCATGTTGAGTTTGATAAACTCGTGGCGAGACTCGACCCGCGTCTGCTTCACTCGGTCCATGCAGTGAAACCGTTGGTGTACCCAATACCATCATTTGCACCGTATGAGTGTCTTCAGACAGACTCCAGAGTGTCTCCTCAGGATTCTCCATTTCCTCCACGGGATGATGCAGAACATTACTGCTTCCTGTTGCCTGATTGGCCACAAAACCAAGAAGATAGGAATGACTTTCCGCGTCAAATCCACCGCAAACTACAGTAACAACATGGGATGGCTGTGGTACAATGGCAACAACAATACCACGTGCCCTACTCTCCTGAATACTTTTCTTCTCTGCACCTTGTCTCATTCCCTCTGTCTCTACATTAGAACATTGTATATAGCACCACGTGCACTGACCTGGATGAATAACACTGTCGCTAGATCTTGGATCTTCGGTATTCCACCCGTCCATGCTGCCAGTGTTTTCTTGTTTTTGAAAGGGCACCCCACGGTCTACACACAAGTGTAACAATTCCCATTTTGCGGTCGCCACACGCTCGGTTGGAATGGTACACCGCACCACCGCAAGAACAAAGGTGTACAATCCTTCAGTTTGCAGGTGAGAAGTTGTTGTATTCCTTTTTATCAACCTCGCCATACGTTGTCTCTTTTGTAAACTCCCCCTTGTACCTTCCTCCCTTGACGCCACCAGCAACAGGTCAAAGCTATCTTCCTCTGCTAATGACTCTGATGCGGGTGAGAATCCAGTTTTGGCCATCAGCAGAAGCTGTGGTTGACTGTCGCCATTCACCTCGGCGAGAAGACGGGAAATGGGCTCCACTTCATCTAACGGTCGTAGCGCATGACACTGCCGTTCCCACGTCCGCTCAACGGGGAGAAAAACAAAGCGATCCAATGACTTCCCCCCTGCGACGGCATGAAAGAAGAATTGCCGCGTAGAGGCAAAGACAAGACCGCTTGTTCCCTTCACGACGGACACGTCTAACGGCGCGTGAAACTCAAAGATCGCGCTGTGCACTTCGCGCCGTGCTGACTCCATGTAAACAACGCGCTCGGTTTGGTTTTCTGCAGCAGTGGCTGTAAAAAGAATGACCTTCAGTGCATAGTGCATGGCATCGCCGTCGGCTGGCTCCTTGAAGGTGGCGGGCGCGGCAAGAAGAAGAACAACAATCGTCTCATCCACCCGTGGGTCCGTGTAGGACCACGACATGCGGGTTTCGCGGAGGCTGCTGCTTCCCTCCGTCACCGCGGTGAGATCCGTGTCGTAGCAGCGGTGATACAACAACGCCATCGCAAAATGGACACGCAGGAAGAATGCAAAATTACTCAAAGAAGAAGAAGAAGAAGGAGAGAAAAAAAAAAAAAAAAAAAAAAAAAGGAAAATCCCAGAAAAGAGATAAATATTGAAATAAAATCCACACAAGACGTCTCCCGCCTCTTCCTTCCTTCTGCGGGAGTCGCTCATGAGGCCACACAGAAGGAAAAAATGAAAGCCAAGTGAAAAAGGAGAGGGAGAGAAAAGAAAAAAGAAAAAAAAAAAAAGCGAGAGGGGGGAGTTATTTGCACACACACACACAAGAAAAAAAAAATATTATCATCTTACATGAGGAAACAGGTAAAAACATCAAAAACAACACACACACACAAATAACCCAAGAAAACAACGACAACAAAATCAACCGAGTTGAAAAAAAAAAAAAAAAAAAAGAACGCCGAGACAAAAAATGACATTACTACCATGAACCTTCAAGATGGACCATCGTATGTACAGGAATATATATATATATATATATTGAGAGGGAGGAAAAGAAAAATAGAAGCAGACAACAACAACAACAACAAAACCGATAGGATAGACGTTGTCATTCCACATCCTCGTCTTCTTTGATGGTTCACCAAGAAGCGTTTCTCTTTCTTTATTCTCATTTCTCACAAACAAACAAAATCCCTTCCCCTCCACCGGCCATTTCCATCCAATCCGTTCCACCCTCTTCGCAGACCCCTCAACGTGGGAGGAGGATGTTTTCTAAAATGCCCCGCGCAATGGCATAAAGTGACGGCACGCCTTCCTTCACTGTCATTGGCACAGAGAGGGAGGCACCCGTAGTGCGCTTTGACGCATGGCTTCCTAGAGGCAAATCACTTGTGTAGTACACAAAGCGTGTTTCCAGTTCTCGATTTGCAATTCCTTGGCGGAAGAAATCTTCAATCACACGAGCAAAAAACGATGCCTCCATTTCCGCCCCCACACAACCCCAAATACGTTTATAGAATTCCAGCATTCGCACATTCTGCAACATGGTACCTGCGATGGTGACAATTCTTCCCTCATGGACCGATACATTTGGGCCCGCCAACTCCCGTAGACGTTCTGCCGTCAGGCCTTGATTGCGGCAACGACGCAACTCATCTTGTGAATCTTCAACAATAAGACTGGATTTGGACATGAGTACCTCCTTAGGAAGTTGAATGTCACCACGTTTGCCAACCAACCCACCGGCTTTCCCCATCACGTTCACGCTTCGGATTCTGCGTCCAAAGACACTAAAGATCGCCCTGCAGATGCCCTCCGCCTGCGCCCCAAAGGCAAAATCCATATTGATTATAAAGTGTCGATCCAACCGAGAATGATGTTTAGGAGAGCTAAAAAAGGGGGAAGACATTTCATCCGTGCTTTTTTTGGTTAAAGGTCGTGGTTGACACATTTGCAGCCAACTTTTGGAGTCCAACCGTCCTTGGCCCCCGGAAATACGCTTCAGAGATTCCTGCAACACAGTGTCTATAGTCTCAAAGTTTAACGCATGCACAGGAATAATGTCCACCTGAAGCCCTGTCATAGCCGTGTCCACAAGCACCATTATACCACTCTCCTCCAGGGCTTTTGCATAATCATCCATAAGGTCTGTTCGCTCTGTAGATAGTAATCCCGTGGTTGAGGCATAAAACGCATCCTCCTCTACGTGCCAGGATTCCAAAGGCCCGAGTCGTTTATCACGTCGTGCATACTCCTCAATGGCTTTCCGATGCTTGCGGTGAAAGCTAGAAAGAAGATTCTTGATACAGTGTGTATTACTGCTAACGATATCAATGCAAAGATCATCCGGCGGTACCCAATGACTGTTCAGGCCCATTTTCTGCATGATGCAAGCACGCAGATTGAGTGCCCATTCAACGAATGGATTCGTCTGAAACTTACGGGATACACCTGGATCCACGCGTACATTAAATTCCTCTCGATGCATCATCACCTCATAAATCTTAACAAGGCAATCCGTCTGCCATAAATCTAAAAGTCCCTTCTGTTCGTCTTTTGTCAGGGGCAAATTCTTTAACACCTCTTGAACACGTTCCAACTCAAGTGCCTTGTCGCGCACCAGCCCGGCGCTTTCATCGGCCTCACGGTTATTCAAATATTCGTCCAAGATATCAATAGCCGGTGGGTGCACCATTCCTTGCACACGGCCTCGGAGCTTGTTGCTTTCAATGATATGTACACACAGCATGGAGAGGAAATCAAGAAGATCCGTGTATCCATCACGCAGCAGCACGAGAGTTTTTCCTTCCATTCCCAAATGCCACGTGCAGCGACGGCGTTCCTTGGTGCGGATGTATGTAATAGCGGTCCGATTTGTTGTGGATTTATTCTTTCCAAACTTTAAGAAATGACGAACATCCGCCTTTTTCGCCTCTTCTCGCATCCGCGTCGCAACAAATGGCGGTAGAGCCAACACGAGATTAAAGCAAAAAGTTGTCGTGACATTTTCCGGCAGACGATTCAACGCGTAACTCCACGCCGCTGTGTCTATTGTATTGCTCTTCAGCTTTGTGTGAATGACGTTCTCAATCTTTGTGTAACGATCGAGAATTGTCCAGAGCGGGAGATACTCATTCATCGCCGCAGAGGGCATGAAGACATAACGGCAAAACTCACGAACCGGAATAAAAATATCACCTTCGCCCACGTGCCGACCCACACTTTGGGAAAAACACGGGTTTTTCCCCAGAAGCTGCTGGACCGCTCGCAGGGGAAGTAATGCCAGCACCGTGCGCTCGGAGGTGATGCCGGCGACGTACCGCAGTGGGGAGGTGTCTTTAAGAACACAGAGCTCCAGGCCGAAAACCATGCCAGGCTTCACCTTGCCACAGTGCGTCATGGCCTCACATTCCTCCACAAGTGGCAACACCTCTGGACACAGTTCCTCTTTATGAAACACCCGTGATTGCTGGAGATCATCTTCTTTTTGAGCGGCATCCAAAAAACAATATGTGCCACCCGCACGGCAAGACCATTTTTTTTGCGTTTTAAGAGACGAGGGGTGTGCGCGTTTCGATCGCTGAGGCGAGTCCGTGCCGCTGTCGTTTGGGGCAAACACCTCCACTTCACCCCCAACAACAATGTACATGTGCGGTGCGTGTCCGCCCTCTGGAAGCACAACTTCTCCCGGCAGATATTCACGGCGTAGAGAGGCCTGCACCACCTCTCGCATCTCGTCATGTCGCAGCAGGCAAAAATGCTCCGTGTTCTGCAAAAAGGCGATCATCTCCTCCTCATCATGGGTGGGCAGGCCTTTTGTAATCACCGGGTCCGGAATCATATTGCGGTACATCTGTATGCCATCCTCTGCGTTGTGATTCATGCGGGAGCTACAAGTTTCAAAAGATTCTTCTTCGTGCCAAAATTTTTTACGCGTGACGGCCCTCGCGCGCTCCTCGATGGATCGCATGACTTCTTCAATGACGCGGGCGACTCTTCTGCCGGGTTTTACTGCCACCACTTCGCTTGTGGTGGAAGTCGCGGCCGCTGCACTTGTCGATCCGGGCCTGCTGTCGCCATACTCCCTGCTGGGGCTCCTGTCGGCACACTCCATCGCCTCCTCCAGCAGCTCCTCATTCAGCGTTTGTCGGTGGTCAAACATGTCCCCCTCTTTCCCTCGTCGCCTCCGCAGTGACCGGTACAAATGCAACTGCGGCCAAACGCCAAAAACGGGACAAAATAAAAAAAAAAAAGGTTAATAATAACCAAACCACCGCCTAATTTTTTATTTAGAATTTGTCCTTTTGTCTCTTGTACTTGTGGTCAACGTCACAAGGGGCAAAACGCAATCTAAAAGAATAAAATCCTCGCCACCGACACTTCCTGCGGGAGAAAAGTAAAAGAAGAAAGAAAGAAAAAGAGATGCATGCAGAGCGGATCCGCACCAGTTGTCTTGGAGGCTCCCACACGGAAACACCCACGCTACAGCGAAAGCAACAACAAAAAAGAAAAAAAAAAAGGAAATCTGATAACTGGAAATGAATACATTTTTGTCATTACTCCTTTCATATACTGCAACCCTTCGTCCCGCGACGCGGGTATTCCAAAAGGGCAAATGCATCTGATAAAGAGGGATCCAACCCGTGGCCCCTATGAGCAAGCCCGAAAACAGGTTCACAGCGCAGAAATGTGTGATTTTAGGCTCATAAATTCACCCTCTATTCGCCCCACCAAGTCTCGAAGCGCCGCAACGCTGTCGACCTTGCAAGTTTCATCCTCTCGGCACTCGGAGGTTTTTTGCGAAAAAATCCCTCCTGCCGCCTGTCGAGATTGTGAGCGCCAACGCCTTTCCAATTCCATTGGCTTTATGTCCTTTAGTCGCTCCAGCAGCTCCGATAAGCCGCTTTGTAGCGACATCAGCTCCCTACTGAGGGAGAAAACTCCTTTGCGAGTTCCTGATGAGCATGGCGATGGCGAGCATGCGTACACTTCTGTCGATGCGTTAAAAGACGGGAAGAGTCCCGTATTTTCTTCCGTTGCCCGCGTTGGCGTCACTGGTGAAGGCGACGCCAAATGAGGTGCAACGGCAAATCGACGTTGCCGAGGAGCGCTGCCGTAGTGAATAAAAGAAGGTGGAGGTGTTCCAAAGTTGCGTGCGTGAGGAGATGATACATCCTGGCTCTTTCGCTCGGGAACAACTTGCAGATCTTCCACCAAAAACATATTTTTTACTCCACGTTTAGGTTGCCGGGTTGCCGAAAACTTGAATAATGACGACCGCTGAGATGATCGCTTAAATGGCTGGACGAACGCCCTCTTCAATAAACCGGCGTCGTCCTGAAGGGTGCGGGCTCGATATTCTCGCTCCCGCGGCCCTTGTTCGTGCTGAGTTTTTGGAGTTTTTTGTGGACCATCCTGTGAGTCTACATCCACCGTGGCACCAACCCTTGTGTTGTCCATGCTATTCCCCATAAAATCAACGGAGCAGTGCTCGAGCGGGAAGAAGCCAAATTTCTCCGTGAAGGATGAAACAAATTCCTCCCGCCACGTCACCT